ATGAAGAAGGATTCTGTCGAGCTCGAAACTATATGATCGTCAGCTCTAATCTGATCAATACGACTATAAGGCATGAAGATATTATAAACATTAACATCATGATTTTCTGTAAAGCTGCTTTGAAACTGTGTATGATGTGAAAAGCGCTATACAAATTAATGTGACTTGACTGGTATTTAGACATTCATCACACTTAAATATAAAGATTCTTTATCAGCATCCTGATAATTTCCATTGCACAAAAGCACAAAAACGGTTCACTGAAAGGTTCTTTGAGGAACCAAAAATGCTTCTTCTGTGGCATCACTGTGAAAACTCTCCTGGAAGCTTTATTAGCTTTATTAGAGTGTATGATGGTGAAGGGCTTTTTGATCTGTGTTTACTGCTCATTCACGAGTCCCTTCTCTCTCTCTCTCTCTCTCTCCTGATCTCCAGAATCCCTCGTCCTGGAGAGATCACGACGACGCCACGTCCACACACTCGGCCGGCACACCGGGACCGTCCAGCGGAGGACACGCGTCGCAGAGCGGAGACAACAGCAGCGAACAGGGTGAGGCTCACACATCAGGACACATATACTGTATAAAAAGTGTAAAAGTATCAAATATATATACATACTAATATATAATATAGGCCTGGTGTCACAGACAGGGTTTAGATTAAGCCAGGATTAGGCCTTAGTTCAATTAGGACATATAGAGACAGGACAGAGAGAGTGAGACAGGACAGAGAGTGAGACGGGACAGAGAGTGAGACAGGACAGAGAGTGAGACGGGACAGAGAGTGAGACGGGACAGTGAGAGTGAGACAGTACAGAGAGTGAGACAGGACAGAGAGTGAGACGGGACAGTGAGAGTGAGACAGTACAGAGAGTGAGACAGGACAGAGAGTGAGATGGGACAGAGAGATAGAGAGACAGAGAGTGAGACAGATCTGTTCTAAATATACCAATATAGGAGAAACTTTTCTGCCCAGATTTGAAACCTTGATTCCATCACTCTTTGAACTGAGTGACACTGAAAAAATGTCCTTCTTACTTGGAGAAGATGATAGTACAGCTGCATTAGTGGCTAAATATGTGTTAGCTATTCACAATGCCAGACACAGCTAATTCTCTAGAGTGACCCACTGTATTTATTCATTTATTAAGATAGATTATGTTTATTTATCTATCGATTTACAATGGTACATTTGACATGATATATATATATATATATATGTTTTATTTGTTTGCTTTGGCAACATTGTGTTTACACAGTCATGCTAGTGTGAGTGAGACGGGACATAGAATAAGACGGGACAGAGAGAGTGAGACAGAGAGTGAGACGGGACATAGAGTGAGACAGAGTGAGATGGGATATATAGTGAGACATAGAGTGAGAAAGAGAGTGAGACGAGAAAGAGAGTGAGACGAGACAGAGAGTTAGACGGGACATAGAGTGAGAAAGAGAGTGAGACGAGACATAGAGTGAGACGGGACATAGAGTGAGAAAGAGAGTGAGACGAGACAGAGAGTTAGACGGGACATAGAGTGAGAAAGAGAGTGAGACGAGACAGAGAGTTAGACGGGACATAGAGTGAGAAAGAGAGTGAGACGAGACAGAGAGTGAGACGAGACAGAGAGTTAGACGGGACATAGAGTGAGAAAGAGAGTGAGACGAGACATAGAGTGAGACGGGACATAGAGTGAGAAAGAGAGTGAGACGAGACAGAGAGTTAGACGGGACATAGAGTGAGAAAGAGAGTGAGACGAGACAGAGAGTGAGACGGGACATAGAGTGAGAAAGAGAGTGAGACGAGACAGAGAGTGAGACGGGACATAGAGTGAGAAAGAGAGTGAGACGAGACATAGAGTGAGACGGGACAGAGAGTGAGACGGAGAATGAGGCAGAGAGTGAGACGGGACAAAGAGTGAGAAAGAGAGTGAGACGAGACAGAGAGTTAGACGGGACATAGAGTGAGAAAGAGAGTGAGACGACAGAGAGTGAGACAGAGAGTGAGACGACAGAGAGTGAGACAGAGAGTGAGACGACAGAGAGTGAGACGGGACTCTCGGGACAGAGAGTGAGACGGGACAGTGAGAGTCTACTTAAATTAGGACATTTAAGTAGCTTTTATAAACATGCATAAGAAAATCAGTTCATTACTGGTGTGAATCTTGAGACAAAACAATGGCACTTGACTGATATGTCAGTGCAAGTTGCTTGCAGTTAAAACAGCTCAAACTAGTCAGTTTAGTTTGAGACTAGACTTAAGCCTTGCCTGTGGAACCAGGGGAATAATGTAATAAAAAAATATTATATAATATAATGTATCATCCAGGGCGCCACTAGACCCTTTTTACTGGGGCACGAGTAAAATATTACTGATAAATCAGTGTAGAAAACCACTCATACTGACCTGAGAATCAATCAGCAATCATGTAATGTGTGTGTTCTATCAGCGGTTTAGATTGCTCTCTATCGTTTGTCATTGACGATGCAGCTATTTAGTGCGTTTGTAGCTTCTGAACGACTCTATACTACAAGTAAAGACTATTTATATCCATTTATATCCAAAAAAAATGATTTAAAAAGTATCCAAATATGTGCAGACTGTTTTGATGGAGGCCTGTGTCCCAGTACTGATGTAAGACTAGAAACGTCATGCATTAAGCATCTGTTTATAATGAAGCAGGGGAGAGAGGGAAGAGAGTGTTATTGATCATTCTGAAGTTATAAGTACCAGTGAGCTGTTCTCCTCACTGCAGTTATTGACTCTCTCTCACACTGGATCCAGTAACAGCTGGTCGATACGGGCTCACACACTTACGGTACGGCACGGAACTGCCTTAAAGTGATCCAGTCAAGCTCCGGCCCAAACCAAAGACAGGAGAGAGAGACAGGACAGAGAGAGTGAGACAGGACAGAGAGAGAGACAGGACAGAGAGTGAAACGGAACAGAGAGTGAGACAGAGAGTGAGACGGGCCAGATAGAGTGAGACAGAGAGTGCGACAAAGAGTGAGACAGGCCAGAGAGAGTGAGACGGGCCAAATAGAGTGAGACAGAGAGTGCGACAAAGAGTGAGACAGGCCAGAGAGAGTGAGACGGGCCAGAGAGAGTAAGACAGAGAGAGAGACGGGACAGAGAGTGAGACGGGACATATTGAGTGAGACTAAGAGTGAAACGGAACATAGAGTGAGACAGAGTGAGACAGGCCAGAGAGTGAGACATGACAGAGAGTGAGACCGAACAAAAAGAGTGCGATGGGACAGAGAGTGAAACGGGTCAGATTGAGTGAGACAGAGAGAGAGAGTGAGGTTCTCTGGTGCAGTAATGCAGTCGTGAGTGAGAGACAGGACAGAGAGTGAGACAGGACCGAGAGAGAGAGAGAGTGAGGTTCTCTGTTGCAGTAATGCAGTCGTGAGTGAGAGACAGGACAGAGAGTGAGACAGGACAGAGAGAGAGAGAGTGTGAGGTTCTCTGGTGCAGTAATGCAGTCGTGAGTGAGAGACAGGACAGAGAGTGAGACAGGACAGAGAGAGAGAGTGAGGTTCTCTGTTGCAGTAATGCAGTCGTGAGTGAGAGACAGGACAGAGAGTGAGACAGGACAGAGAGAGAGAGAGAGAGTGAGGTTCTCTGGTGCAGTAATGCAGTCGTGAGTGAGAGACAGGACAGAGAGTGAGAGGACAGAGAGAGAGAGAGTGAGGTTCTCTGGTGCAGTAATGCAGTCGTGAGTGAGAGACAGGACAGAGAGTGAGACAGGACAGAGAGAGAGAGAGAGAGTGAGGTTCTCTGTTGCAGTAATGCAGTCGTGAGTGAGAGACAGGACAGAGAGTGAGACAGGACAGAGAGAGAGAGAGAGTGAGGTTCTCTGTTGCAGTAATGCAGTCGTGAGTGAGAGACAGGACAGAGAGTGAGACAGGACAGAGAGAGAGAGAGAGTGAGGTTCTCTGGTGCAGTAATGCAGTCGTGAGTGAGAGACAGGACAGAGAGTGAGACAGGACAGAGAGAGAGAGAGTGAGGTTCTCTGTTGCAGTAATACAGTCGTGAGTGAGAGACAGGACAGAGAGTGAGACAGGACAGAGAGAGAGAGAGAGTGAGGTTCTCTGGTGCAGTAATGCAGTCGTGAGTGAGAGACAGGACAGAGAGTGAGACAGGACAGAGAGAGAGAGAGTGAGGTTCTCTGGTGCAGTAATGCAGTCGTGAGTGAGAGACAGGACAGAGAGTGAGACAGGACAGAGAGAGAGAGAGAGTGAGGTTCTCTGGTGCAGTAATGCAGTCGTGAGTGAGAGACAGGACAGAGAGTGAGACAGGACAGAGAGAGAGAGTGAGGTTCTCTGTTGCAGTAATGCAGTCGTGAGTGAGAGACAGGACAGAGAGTGAGACAGGACAGAGAGAGAGAGAGTGAGGTTCTCTGGTGCAGTAATGCAGTTGTGAGTGAGAGACAGGACAGAGAGTGAGACAGGACAGAGAGAGAGAGAGTGAGGTTCTCTGGTGCAGTAATGCAGTCGTGAGTGAGAGACAGGACAGAGAGTGAGACAGGACAGAGAGAGAGAGAGTGAGGTTCTCTGGTGCAGTAATGCAGTCGTGAGTGAGAGACAGGACAGAGAGTGAGACGGGACAGAGAGAGAGAGACGGGACAGAGAGTGAGACGGGACAGAGAGTGAGACAGGAGAGAGGTTCTCTGGTGCAGTAATGCAGTCGTGAGTGAGAGACAGGACAGAGAGTGAGACAGGAGTGAGGTTCTCTGGTGCAGTAATGCAGTCGTGAGTGAGAGACAGGACAGAGAGTGAGACAGGACAGAGAGTGAGACAGGAGTGAGGTTCTCTGGTGCAGTAATGCAGTCGTGAGTGAGAGACAGGACAGAGAGTGAGACAGGACAGAGAGAGAGAGAGAGAGACGGGACAGAGAGAGAGAGACGGGACAGAGAGTGAGACGGGACAGAGAGTGAGACAGGAGAGAGGTTCTCTGTTGCAGTAATGCAGTCGTGAGTGAGAGACAGGACAGAGAGTGAGACAGGAAAGAGAGTGAGACGGGACAGAGAGTGAGACAGGAGTGAGGTTCTCTGGTGCACTAATGCAGTCGTGAGTGAGACGGGACAGAGAGTGAGACAGGACAGAGAGTGAGACAGGAGAGAGGTTCTCTGGTGCACTAATGCAGTCGTGAGTGAGACGGGACAGAGAGTGAGACAGGACAGAGAGTGAGACAGGACAGAGAGTGAGACAGGACAGAGAGTGAGACAGGACAGAGAGTGAGACGGGACAGAGAGTGAGACAGGACAGAGAGTGAGACAGGACAGAGAGTGAGACAGGACAGAGAGTGAGACAGGACAGAGAGTGAGACGGGACAGAGAGTGAGACAGGACAGAGAGTGAGACAGGACAGAGAGTGAGACAGGACAGAGAGTGAGACAGGAGAGAGGTTCTCTGGTGCAGTAATGCAGTCGTCCTGCAGAGCGCAGTGACCTTTCACCCCAGCCAGCAGAACAGACGCCTCATTTCTCACATTCTTGCAATTATGTTCACGCTTGAAGCGCTTGTTCACTCTCAACACCCGCAAGACAGGACAA